AAAATCCTATTTTTACAAAGCCCAAATTGTAAACATTTATACAGTAGCTGCTAGGTTCAAGAAGCTGCCTAAAAATTTTGTTTTTATTTTTTTAAGGCATTTTTTTTTAAAGAATTTGAGTGGTTTTAGATTCGTTTATTTGCATAATCAACCTTTAAATGCCAATTTTGAGTAGGAAAAATCCTGATGATATTTGTTTTTGGCCTCTTTTCACAAGCAATATTTATGTTATTTGACTTATAGCATACATTTACATTGAACAAGTGCTTTTATTTTAAATAATCTACTTTAAATTTCCTTAGTGTGGACAACAGTGAGTACATGCGAAATGGAGACTTTCTACCCACTCGGCTGCAGGCTCAGCAGGATGCTGTTAACATTGTATGTCACTCAAAGACTCGAAGCAACCCTGAAAACAACGTGGGCCTCATCTCCATGGCAAAGTAAGCAGCAATCCACTTCAGTATACTGAGGTTTAAGATGGGATTAAACCTATGATAACACAAGTGTTGTGATTCGCTCTGCAGCAACTGTGAGGTGCTTACCACGCTGACTCCGGATACGGGGAGGATACTGTCGAAGCTGCATGCTGTGCAGCCATGTGGAAACATTAGCTTCTGCACCGGTATCAGGGTGGCGCATGTGAGATTGATTTTTATCATACAACAACTGCTATCTTGGTCTTATTGCTGGACACACAATAGACAAGTAGAAATGCTTGAATGCAGTGAAGTTTTAAGACATGTGGATGGATCATTAGTCCAGAGTTTGATTAAAAACTCTGGACTAATGGTGTTGTTGTTGCTCTCCGCAGCTTTAGTGAGGTCCTTTTAAATTAATGGATACAGTAGCAAATTTTGTTGTCTAAGCGAGGAGCTGCTGGGTTTGCAGAATTGCAGAATATTTTGAAGTAACGGTTCTTCAGCCCAGTTAGTGTAGTAAATATTAGACGAAACAGAGCCTAGTGTTTCAAAAAAAGGAGGAGGATGTGGCCATTGCAGAAGAAGTTGTGGGTTCGACAGTGCAGGAAAGGCTAAGTTGTACTCTGTTATTTAATTTGTACGAGCAAGAAAGCAATCAGGAAGAACGGACGTAAGGAGTGAGCTCGACTGCAGTACAAGAGCTTGACTGGAAAGGCTAAAAGTAACAAGAAGATTGTGAGAGAAGCAAAACAAACAAACTGGGGATTTGTGTTAATCTGTGTCGTAGCTACGTCATAATGACAAACTACTTTTGGTCACAGTCTTTGAACTTATTAGTGAGAAAATAACGATAATCGTCTCAATATAAGGAATAATGATCATAGCATCAGTATAAGTATCAGCAAAAACGTGGGCCACTTATTTAGGTTATGCCACAAACCTCACCTGACTCAGTGCCGAAGTCTGAATCCAGCATAAGTGTTACAGACTTGTGAAAAAGGGCAGCTTTCCACAGGTTTCCTTGAAATTCCATTTGATGCTTTCAGTGTAGTTTGCATCTTGAAATTGTTCCCTAAATTTGGATATTTCAAAAGGTTTTTTTATGTGTTTGGTTGTTTTTACATAACATACATTTGGCTGTATTGCTAAAAGTTCATGCAGTTGTTATCAGTGGTACTGATTGTATTGATGTTGGTAAATGCTATTCTACCATTTCTGTTTTTATGTTCACACACAGAAAATCACACAGATGCATTTTATTTTGTATGTGTTCGTTTCTCTTTTTTAATGTTCTGTCTTTCTGTCTGTAGTTGGCGCTGAAGCACAGACAGGGCAAAAACCACAAGATGCGTATAATTGCGTTTGTTGGCAGCCCAGTGTGTGACAACGAAAAAGAAGTAAGCCAAACTCTTGTTATTAGTTATTATTATCTTATTAGGGTTCATGTATTGCTCAAAAAGTGTTGCTTTCCCCCACCTTGGTTAAGATAACCAGTGAGAAGACTTGCAGCTGTTTCAGACTAGCATCTGGAAAGCAATCAGTTTATTACAGTTAACTGAGTTTACTCTGAAATCACTAGTTGGACGGCAGTGTCGTATCTTAAGGTTACGAAAGACGTGACAAACTTGACATTACTATCTCACAGCATGCAGGCCACAATCTCAACGTTACAGCATCGGTTGAATTGTTTACAAAGGAAATGTACCTCACAGAGCGATTCTGTTGCTTTAAAGAACATAAAGTCTTCAAATCTTGGCCTGGGAGCTGAAGCTGCTTCAACAGCTTCTTTAGTATTGCTGTTTCCTTAAACAGACACCAGTTTGTTAGCTAAGTGGTCTCTGATGTCAATGTTGAACTTATAAATGTATGACGCGCCTGATAAATTAGTGTTTGTTTTAACTCAAGTGTTTCTCTCTTTTTGTAGTTGATCAAAATGGCAAAGCGTTTGAAGAAAGAAAAGGTCAATGTTGATGTCATTAACTTTGGAGAGGAGGTATTTTTATTTTTTTTAACCTTCTGAGCTTATAACCCACTCAAACATTTTTTTTACATGCACCCCTTAACTTCTGCTCTGCCCGCAGGCGATGAACACAGAGAAGCTGACAGCCTTCATCAACACGCTGAATGGCAAAGAGGGAGCAGGTTCCCACCTGGTCACAGTACCCCCGGGTCCCAGTCTTGCCGATGCCCTGCTGTCCTCACCCATTCTGGCAGGAGAGGGTGGTGCCATGTTGGGTCTGGGTGCCAGTGACTTTGAGTTTGGAGTAGATCCCAGTGCAGACCCTGAGCTGGCTTTGGTGAGTGAACACAGGACACAATTTTTGTTTTTGTTTGTATAGTTTGTGCAGTTTAATATAGCCGCAACTTTTTGTGACTACATTAAAAGTTCTTCAAATGATCTATTTTAGGCTACGTCCACACGTACACGGGTATTTTTGAAAACGGAGATTTTCCGTTTTCGTTTTAAAAAATAATCCCATCCACACGTAAAGGCAGAAATGAAGGAAAACGCTGCTAGGAACATGCCAAAGCAACAGGTGGCGATATATTCCTAACCATGCAGAAATGTTAGCCAATCAGAAGTCTAGAAGCCTCGGTGGGAAAAAGTAAACAAAGCTGGGGCATAGAAGCAGAACCGAGTCGTATGTGTGGAGGGACAGTAACTGTGTGTAAGCATTTAAACACTGCAGAGAGTATAATTAACAGTATTGTAGAAATTCATTTCACCGAAACAATAACGTGGCGCACAGTGTGACGTCAAAAAATGCGCACACCTTTGACGCTGCATTTTCTCAGTTTTTCTCGTCCACACGTAAATGCAAAAACGGAGTTTTCAAAAATATCCACCCTGGCCGGAGTTTTTAAAAATCTCAGTTTTCAGTGACCAAAAACACCGTTTACGTGTGGACGAAAGGTGCAAACACATAGAAAAATCTGCATTTTCAAAAATACCCGGGTACGTGTGGACATAGCCTTAGTCTTTCTTCATTATATTTTCTGCCTTTTCTTTGCTTTTTTCTGCACAGTTGTAAGACTCAACGTGTTTCATTAGGAAGTAATTTTTGTTTTGTCTCCTGCTCTTCTCACTAGGCTCTGCGTGTGTCCATGGAGGAGCAGAGACAGCGACAGGAGGATGAAGCTCGCAGAGCCGCTGTTGCATCAGCTGCTGAAGCTGGCATTTCCTCCCCAGCTGCAGATGGTGAGAAAACATTGTATTCATAGATGCCCAGCAATGGGCCTGTTTTCCCTCAGTGACAAGTGATCTGAGTGTATACATGCAACATATTCTTTTTTTGTCTGCTTCAGAGTCTGAGGATGCCTTGCTGAAGATGTCTGTTCCACATACAGACTCAGCCACACCTGCCCTACCAGACTTTAGCCGCATGACAGAGGATGAGCAGATCGCCTATGCTCTGCAGATGTCCATGCAGGGAGCAGGAGCAGGTTTACCTGCATTTTTTTTCTTCTTCTTTTACTACAGCCAGTCAGCAAATTATTATAGAGGGTTCATAACTTATAAGTGCTCTGTATATGTTATGTGCATAATTTGTATTAACTTGTATCTAGAGTTCACCTGTAAATTTGGGGTGAAAAAATGACTACAGCGCTGGATTACTGTACGAAAATACCAGATTTGGCTTGTAGGTCATCAAGTCCCCAAAGAGTTTTAGTTAGATATTTATGAAGGTAGTGTTAATGTACAACTTGGGTATAACTTGAGCTAACTGGTCTAATTTTAGACCTAATTTTAGACCTTTTTTAAAAATTGTTTTTTCCTATTAAAAATTTCAGGTTAAAACAACTACAATTACTTCCAGTCCCCTTTTTGTTATGCACAGACATCACTGCTTTCATTTGTTCTGCAGAGTTTGGTGCTGAGGACATGGATACAGGTGCTGACATCGACTCCAGTGAAGCTAAGGTGAATATAAGCAACTGTGGTTTGAAATCAAAGTTTTCATCACACTAAAAACAAAAACCTTTATATATTTATTTATTTATTTAAAAACCTCTACTCAGGATGAAGAGGATTATGATGTTATGCAGGATCCGGAGTTCCTCCAGAGTGTTTTAGAAAACCTTCCTGGGGTCGACCCCAACAACGAGGCCATTCGTAATGCCATGGGCTCTCTAGCTTCCCAAACGGGCTCTAAACCCGACGCCAAGAAGGACGAGGAGAAAAAGAAATGAGCATAATGCACAGTGTTATAAATAAAGGATGAGAATTGCCCTGTGTGTGTCATTCACCATAGCGTCATTATTCTCCTCAGAACAGGAAACAGTTTGTTCACCTTTTGTTTATATAGCTGTGTAAACTCTAAACATTTGCCTTTTTTATGTACTTATCTGATGTTAACCCTTCTGTGTTCAGGACTTGTGTTATCTTGATTTTTTTGTTTTTAATGTAACTAAGTTACATGGTTACATGGACAGATTTCCTCAATAAATTTCCAGAATTCAAAAGTTTATTTACAGTTTTTAATTTCCTTGCACAAACTAGAAATAAATGTTGGCCTGATACTTGCATACACTTCCATTTAAGAATATAATTGAAATATTTATTTATTTATTGTACAACTTATTAGTACAGGTTGGATTCCCTTTTGCAGGAAACATTCCTCAGAGATTTTGGTCCATATCAAAATGATCACACAATTGCTGCAGACTTGTAAGCTTCACATCCATGATATCAATTTCGCATCGGTGCATTGCCCTGCTGGAAGCAGTCGTCAGAATGGAAATGTTGGGGCCATAAAGAAAATATCCAGCTCATCAGACCAGGCAACGTTTTTGAATCTGTGCTTCAATTTTAGTGAACCTGTATGAATTGAAGCCTCAGTTTTTTGCTCTTAGCGGACAGGAGTGGCGCCCAGTGTTGCTGCTGTTGCCCATCTGCTTTAAGCTTTGGCATGTTCTGTCTTTAGAGGTACTCTTCTACATATCTTAGTTCTAAGGATTGATCATTTCTGGTGTTGTTGCTTTCCTACAATCCCAAAGAAGTCTGGGCACTCTGACATCAACAAGACATTTTCACTCAGAACAGCGGCCCACTGTGAACCCTATGATTGTGCGGTAAATCTTAGTAGGTCAGCAGTTTCTGAAATAACATTACATTTCTTCCCCAACCTGATGGTGGGGTCGAACTCCAGCGGGTCGTCTTGAACCTGTCTACGTGCCTACATGCATTTAGCCGCTGCCATATGATTGGCTGATTCGGTATTTACGATAACAATTACCTGAACAAGCACCTAATGGACTGATGATACTGTATGTTAAAATGCTGTGAATCACATCATAGTGTGTAAATAAAACGAAGTCGATAACCGAATTATTTTTTAGTTGTTTTCTTTTGTGGGAGATAAGATAGTAAAGGTACGTGGAGATAACAGAGGGCACTTTCTGACGTCTGAGTTTTATTTGGTTCAGTAGCTCACCGTCGCATTTGATGACGCAAACACGTATGAGACCAAGTGCAAAGTGAGGAACCAACTTCGCTAACTTGCAGGTAACATAATTAAATTACAGTTCTCGTGTCCTCTTTAATGCTAGCACACTTAACACGCAGCGGATAAGATGGATTAGAGCCCGCATACCCGAGTGCTGCACTGCTCCAGTTATTTGGACTGCTTAAGGAGAGTTGGTGTGTTTTCATTAGGAAGGCCAGCTAGCAGGTAACTGCTAAAGTAGCTAGCTGTTAGCAGTAGCACACACTTGTTGCAAAACGACTGTGAAGTTTGACTTGATGGTGTGAGAATTGTGCAGTAGTTTCCGTGTTTTTCTTTTTTAAATGTGCTGTTCTGCACCGGTAGAGTCTCTCCTCTTGGAGTTTTGCTTTGACTAACCCCTTTTCACGCCAACTGTTTTCGATTTTAGTCAGCGTAAACCTGCAAGCTGTTATGGACAAAACAGAAGTTTGCATGTTTAAAGCAAGTAGAAATGGTATCCCAAATCTTTGACCTAAAGTTTAACGCTGTTTTGGATTTAATTGCTTCATACTTTTGAGATTCTGAAGTGAATACGTACAGTCAAACCATGCATTCATATAAATGTGTAATTTGGACTTGGTGATATTGAGATATGTGAAGTACAGGTAAGTGTTTATACGCTTTTTATTGTCTAGAAGAGCAGATAATTCATTCATTAAAAATTGCAATCAAACTTTGGTCAATACTTTAAGCGCATACACTTCGACCACTTCATTAGGTACATCCGTTCTACTGCTCTTGTATGCAAATAGCCATCTAGCCTCTCACGTGACAGCACTCAGCACATAGAGGCACGCGGACATGTTCAGTACGACCTGCTGAAATTCAAACTGAGCATCAGAATGAATTGATTTAATAAGTGACCTAGCATGTAGCGTGGTTGATGGTGTTAGACAGCATGCTCTGAGTATTTTAGATGATCTGATTTGCTAGGATTTTTCCACGCAACCATCTCTAGGGTTTACAGAGAATGTTCCAGAAAAGAGAACATAATCAGTGAGCAGCAGTTCTCTGCGTGAAAATGTCTTGTTGATGTCAGAGGAGAATGGCCAGACTGCTTTGAGCTGATAGGTAGGGCACACAGTAACCAAAAATAACTGGTTAAAACATAGAGGTGGGAATCACCATACATCCCACGATACGATATTATCACAATACTTAACGCACGATACGATATTATCACAATACTTAACGCACGATACGATATTATTGCAATTTTTTAAAAATATTTTGCGATATTCAGATTCTGTACATAAAGGTAAACTTTATCAATATTCATTTTATCTAATATCAAAGTCTCACACTCAGTCTTTCTCTCATTTCAGTCAATCTTATTGTTGACAAACTTGAATGGTTTGTATTACAGTCTAGTCCAACTTAACTGAATGCTCTGAAGTCAGAGCATGTTCCAGTCCACAAAAACTTTTTTTGTAACAAAATATCGATTTCTGCTGTCCCTGTATCGATACATTATTAGCAAACAAAATATCACGATACTACACAGTATCGATTTTTCCCCCCACCCCTATTAATACAACGAAGGTATGAGGAAGAGCATCTCGGAGTGCACAGCAAACTGAACCTTGAAGCAGGTAGGCTACAGCAGCAGAAGACCACTCTGAGTGCTACTCTGTCGGCTAAGAAATGGAAACTGAGGCTAAAATCGACCACCAAAAATGGACAACACATTAGAAAAATGCTGTCTGCGTCAATATTTAGTTGGTTAGGTCAGAATTTGAGCTAAACAACATGAAAGCATGGATCCATCCTGTCCTGTATCAGCAATTCAAGCTACTGGTAGTGGTTTAACGTTATGGGGGATATTTTCTTTATGCCCATCTGTTGATGGCTGCCTCCAGTAGGACAACCACTCAGATCATCTCAAACTGGTTATTGAGCAGGATGGGGAGTTCACTGTGCTCAAGTGACCTCCACAGCCAATCTCAATCTAATAAAGCAACTTTGGGATGTGGTGGAACAGGAGATTCACATCATGGATGTGCAGCTGACGAATCTGCAGCAACTGTGCAGATTTCTTTTATTTTATTATTTTTTTTACTTTACTGGGGGTAACTGGTGAAACGAATATCACATATGGGATTTTTCTGGTGGCAGTGCATTTGGTGGCTGAGATTTAAAAACAATAAAAATTCCAGAGAGTATTACACATAATCTGTAGCTTTTACATGGACATTATACAACCAACACAAAGACCTTAGAGGCATCGAAGCACTGCCAGCAACCAATTTCCTGTTTTTCTCCCTTTTTGGTAAAGAATTCTGCGTAAATTGTTCAAAAAGGGTACAGAAAACAAAGAAACCTTCAGTATTAAAAAAACAAAAACAAGCTGTATTATTTTTTTCAGCTGAATGCTACGTTTAAATGCTTTAAACTTTCATTTTACCAGAATTAAAGTTATAGTTTAATGTGGATTAGGGGTATATGTGGAATCTAACAAACACTTAGGGATTCTCTTCTGATTAGTAAATATAGAACATGTAGTTTATTAGAATTTTATAAGGAGCAGCTTTATCAGTGTATATTAATATATATTCATCTTCATAAATGTGTAACCTTTGTAGTTTATCTGTGTCAGCTTGTCCTGACTAAATTAATCAGTTGTTCCAACTCATTTGTTGCTTTAATTGGTTTTGCTTGCAGTGGCAATGGGGGATATGAAGACCCCAGACTTTGATGATTTGCTGGCAGCGTTTGACATTCCTGACATTGACGCCAAAGAGGCCATTCAGTCCAGTCCAGACGAGGAACGGGATGAGGCCCGGACTAACGTGCATGGGAGAGAGAGTGGATCTCCTTCAAGGTTTGCCGACCCTCCTGCCCCTCAAAGCGAGCCTCCTGTGGTCAGTGTTATTGTTAAGAACACAGTGCGGTCAGAGTCTTTTGAAGAGGAAGAGAAGTCTGCCAGGGATAAAACAGACAATCCTTCAAGCAGTGCCTTAGCCTCTCCTGTGCACGTTAAGTTGGATGACATCACTTCACAGCTTTGTCCCAGACTCCCCTCCGAGTCTGCTGTGGAGGGTGAGACGACTAATGGCTTTGAGGAATCTCCCTCCAGCCGGCAGGGACAGTCTAGCACAGAAGCATGGCACCAGGCTTCACCTCTGAGGTCCACACTGAGTGAAAGTGACAGTGAAACCGATAAAAGGCCTGAGCCTGGATCTTCCCAGCATGCGGTTGATGTTATGAACAGTTTAAGGCCCCTTCTCCACCTCAAGTCGCCAACCACTGGTGTTCCCACCCCATTATCTCCTCCTTCCCCAGCCTCTGTCAGTGATCACCTTTCTCCTCACTCCCCTCAGCAGGATGAAACCTGTCTCAGAGATAATACACTATCATCACCGTCACTACAAAATGACAGCATGGAAACCGGAATCAAGCATGTTATGCACACAGATGAAGATGACTCAGAACCAGAGCTGGTGATCCAGGAGAGCCCAGAATCTGTAATGGCCCCACCTCCTAAGTTTAAATACAGAGCAAAATTACCGCCTACTTTTCTTGGGTCTCCTGAAACGAGGCCTTCTGATCCTCCTAAGCTCACTTTTTCCAGAAAACCAAAAGCCCAACACGAGGAGGATGGGCTGCCTACCACACCAAGCTCTCCACCCTCACCTCAAAGTTCCCAGGACCGCCTCCCACATGTTAGCACCAGCTCTTCATCAGTCCAAGAGGAGAAATACCCAGAACATGTGATTGATGAGAGGGAGTCGCCTGAGAGCCCACCACCCAGTGAGACAGGGTTTTTACTCCAAAATAGAAGCAGCAGCCCTGATCCCGGCTCAACAACAGCTCTAACTGCAAACCATGACGAATTCCACCATCAGGAGGAGCACATGGAGAGTGAGGACTGTCAGCAAGACAAGCCGGGTAACAGTGAAGGAATGGGTGAAAAGGTGGATGGGGAAAATTTAGACACGGAGAAGTGTGATGCTGACACTGAGGATGCTGCAAGCGCCACAGAGACGGTTTCACCTCCACTGCGACCACTCAAAGTTAAAATCAAAATGCCCACAGGCAGCATCACAAGGACTGTCACTGGTGTGGCGCCTAAAAGAAGCGGAAGAGCCACCAGTAAGGGTGTGACTGCTCCAAAACCATCACCACAGCGTCATAACACAAGAGCCAAAAGGGAGTTACCGCAAGAAAGTCAGCTGACTGCAGTGGAGATGCTGCAGGATGCTTGCGCTGCCACACTAGAAGGTGCGAGTACAGTTAGAGAGAAAACCCCCGCTGACGCCAGGCCTAAAGTTTCCCCCACAGCAGTGAACATCACAAAAACTGCAGCTCTGCCCTCTATTACTACCTCCTCCTCCAGAGTCAGTGCGAGTACAGGCAACCTGCGCACCCTGGGCCAAAAAACTCTCAACAGTGGGGTGACACTACCTGCTTCTTTACCTCTGCTGCCCCCTCAAAGCAGCAGCAGGCCAGCATCTATAGTCAACAGCACTGGGGCCATCATATCAAAGAGCCAGACCAACTTAGTGGAAGCCTTCAACAAAATCCTGAATAACAAGAACCTGCTGCCCAGTTATAAACCAAATCTGAGCGCCCCTCTTCCTGCAGAGTGGGGCATTTCTCTACCTGCGCAGGTAAGCTCTCTTAGAAATTAAAGAATTAGTTGGTCAGCAGTTAAATGAAGCATTTGATATTTTTGTAAATCATTCGAGGTCAATAAGCTAAGTCTAAAAGCGGAACTCAGTTCTGCACAGTATTAATTTGATCTCTTTTATAAATGGTAAATGGCCTGTATTTATATAGCGCTTTTACTAGTCCCTAAGGACCCCAAAGCGCTTTACATATCCAGTCATCCACCCATTCTCACACACATTTACACACTGGTGATGGCAAGCTACATTGTAGCCACAGCCACCCTGGGGCGCACTGACAGAGGCGAGGCTGCCGGACACTGGCGCCACCGGGCGCTAAACAGCTACTGGTAAGAGTAGATGTTACAATTGAGCAATGAAAGTGTCAAAAAAGTGGAAATTCAACATTCCCAGAAACAACTGAAGGTTTTTGAAATTTTGCAAAAACATGAACATTTTATTCACAAAGTAGTAATGCTGTTTGCTTGTAGTTGAATCACTACATCTGCAGTTTTTCAGCTTCTTTTTCTTATTCAAGCCCAAAACAGATTAGATTTTTCTCATTGAAGTGCATTAAAGTCAGATTAAATGTCTGAGGTGGAAATGCAAACAACAACAGAGAGGTGATTGTCATTGATAGAGGATCTGGAGTTAAATGTCGTCACTGACTGTTCACATATGAGAGTAGATCTTCTGAGGATGTGGAAAGTTCTTCTCCGTGAGGGAAGACTAAAAATCCAGCAGGGACATTGACCTAGAGTGCTCTGCCAGCAGTTAATCAGAAGTGTAGCAAACTCTTATTCAGTGGTTTTATACGGTGGCCCTGAGAGGCCAAACGGACTGCAACTTCAGAAAACACTTGCAAAAAGAAAAATGCTGCAAAAAGAAAAAATGCTGCAAAAAGAAAAACACTTGCAAAAAGAAAAATGCTGCAAAAAGAAAAACGCTGCAAAAAGAAAAATGCTGCAAAAGCACACAAAGCACAACGGAAATAGGAAAAAAGACAACGGAAATGTTTCTGGGGAGACAATAACCGAACGGACCAGTTGCACGAACCAAAACATGTATGTATGGCTGTATCCCAATTCAGGGACTGTTTCCCAATTCAGGGTCTGCAGCCTTAAAGTACGCAGCCTTAACGGTCCTCAAGGGCCGCACTCAAAGACTGCTGAGGCCGGAAGTGCGAGGCTTGTAGGCTTGTGAAATGGGACGGTCTAGCCTCCGTCGCGCTGCCCAGGTTGCCTAGCAACCATGATACTAACAGCTGGAAACGTTTCATACAGCTTTGTTTGACAGAAATGAAGGAGAACATATTTTGTACATTTGTTTCTACATGAGCTTTGTGTGATTTGATAAGTATCTGAGGCTGAGACCACGGGACTGTAAAACATGATTGTTGGGCTTCATTTTTGTACTGAACAGTCATTTAAGATTAGCTAGTAAATAACAATTAGCTAATCTTGTTCATGAGACTAAAGTCATCTCACTTTGGTAATGTAAATATAATATGGCCAATATTATATTAATCATTATTAGTTATTACAGCAGTGAACATGAACTCTGTGCCAAACACTGAGCTTCAGTAAAGATTCAAGTTGCATTTATTTATATTTCCTATCACCTTAAATCTTCACTTAAACACAAGTATCTGTGACAGTGTATATATAGATGTATTATATATAAGAGACAAATATTGTTCTTTTAATATGTTGGCATTACTAAATTTGGCTCAATGCTTACATATATGTGTAAAAAGAAAATGTACGAGCTGTGAAAACTGTTTCTGATAAAATGAAGAGTAGACTGATATATGAAATATTCCTTTATTGGGTGAGAAAATCAGACCATGTCATAACTGCTTTAAGTCATACAGAATAGATATCAGAGCCTTAAACAGGCTGACTTCTGCTAAATGGGTCAAACTGGGCAGAAAGTCACAAACACATAACATCCTTATAGAATATGATGTAACACTATAGATCAACTTACCTCAGAATATATAAAGCATATAAACAATTACAGCAATATGATGCAACAAACACAGCAGTGCTACTATCCAAAATACTCAAAGCTTCATAGAACTGAAACAAACATTTATTTTTAGCTCCATTCTGCTGCTGATACATACTTTAGGTTTCTGAATATTAAACTTGTTGCTGCCTTTCATAGTGTGTAACTTGAAGGCCCTGAGTACTTTCTCCCACACTGAAAACACTGGAATGATAAAATTATTTGAACATTACCTAATAAGACTGATTCAGGACAGACAAGTTATGTTAAACTTTCCTAGCAGTCCTTCACAAACAGGGAACAGTCTGTCTATTCTCTCCATCTGTCAGCTGCTGCTGGCTCTTCCTCCTCCTCTTCCTCACACACTGTTGAGTTCGGTGGATCATCAGGGGTGCAAAGCCTCACAGATGATGTGCAGCAGTGGGTCCCTCAGTCTGTCCTCACTCTGGACACTTGCAGTTGTCACACATGGAAATCAAATGTGTGATAAGCTGCAGGATTCAAACACAAGTGTAACTTATAAACACATGTTCATACTTTTATTCCACAATCAGAGAGAAAGAAACAGAGAGAGAGTGCAGGACAGACAGACAGGTGACAGTCTCAGCTGTATACACTGCTACAAACAGGAGGATTTAGTGTTTGTGTTATTACGAGTGCTAAACAAGAAGAGTTCCCAGATGGTGCAGTGGACACATGTGTGACTGCTGTGATTAAAGCATCTTTCTTTCAGCTTAACGAGTGAACCGTCAGCTCGTTCAAACACACGTTAAAGTCCGTTTGGCTCGACACCACCGAACAGAGGCAGCAATATAACATAGCGAACATTAACAGTGCAGTGAATCCTGCTTGTGCCGTGATATTCAGGACTGCAAACTGAGCAGCATCACTGACTTTCAGCCTGTTGTGTTTGTGGATATATGACTGACTTTAATTATCCACAAAATCATCACATTCTCTGTAAGATTAAGGTCGACTATCTAACGGCTAACATTTGCACATAAATAAGTGACATAATATTCAGAACTTACTTTTGAAAGTTTACTCTTTGGCCGCTCCACTTCTTTGAAGTGTCTCCCAGTCCCAGTGCACTTGTTAGCATGTTTTGGTTCGTGCAACTGGTCCGTCCGGTTATTGTCTCCCCAGAAACATTTCCGTTGTCTTTTTTCCTATTTCCGTTGTGCTTTGTGTGCTTTTGCAGCGTTTTTCTTTTTGCAGCGTTTTTCTTTTTGCAGCATTTTTCTTTTTGCAAGTGCTTTCTGAAGTTGCAGTCCGTTTGGCCTCTCAGGGCCACCGTAGTTTTACCCTGAAGAAGTTACCAACTTTAGTTACTAATAAGCAACATGGTTAATTTTTGTCACTCACTTACACAACACCACCTGGTGTATAACATGGTGAGAGAATACCAGTTTCACTTCTTTACAGTTTTGTCAGAATTCAAAAAGCTGGTCTTGAATGTTCCCTAGATGTGTAAAGCTTGATGCTTGTGACGTCTGGTTTCAATACAAAAACAAGGCAGCTAAATGCTAAAGTTCAGGCTTGAAAACAAGACTTCACAAAGCAACGGGTGACATCACAGTGACTATATCCATCATTTATATACAGTCTATAGCGCTAAGCAATTAGATTAAATTAAGAAAATCATGATTGTTTCACCGTTCAATCACAGACTGCTAATCAAGGGTTGAAAGTAGTTCTTTTAGTCATGTTATGTAAAGAGGCACGTTATCAGGTTAACAAGGCTGAAAATGAAGATAAGCTTGATTAAAGCAGGAATCCTGACATTAGGAGCGTGTTTATATTAAAAAAAAAAAAAAAAAAGGACAGAAAATGTGGGCAGTACATCTCGCAATGGATTATTTTTCATACTCTGACATGTAATGCAAAGTGAGTATTTTTTCATTAGAACAAAGCTGTAGCATTGTTTAATATTATAGCTCTATGTCAGTTTGAGAAAGAGGATGTTTGATCCCCTGCAGGGTTACCGGTGTCTGGAGTGCGGTGACGCCTTTGCCCTGGAGCAGAGTTTAGCACAGCACTATGACCGGCGCTCGCTCAGAATCGAGGTGACCTGCAATCACTGCGCCAAACGGCTGGCCTTCTTCAACAAGTGTAGCTTGCTGTTACACGCCAGAGAGCACAAGGACAGAGGCCTGATCATGCAGTGTTCACACTTGGTCATGAAACCAGTGCCTGTGGATCAGATGATCAGCCAGCAGGAACCAACAGCAGCTGGTATGGGAATGTTTTTGTCTCCACTCCACTGTTTTGATTTTTGGATGTGCTTTAACTGCCTCTTCCATCCTTTCAACACCATGCTTTTAGGCCAGACAAACCCAAAGGCAGCACCCCAGGCACATCAAGCAGTAGCTAAGAAAGCAGAAGCAGTGCAGTACACAAGTAACAAATGTCCTGAGTGTCAGGCTCAGTTCTGCAGCAAAGAAGAGGTAGCCGAACATTTCCAGGAAATCAAGCCAGCACAGAGCACCGTAAGTCTCCATCGTGTATGGAAGAGGGTCAAGTAATTGAATTTAAATTTCTTTGACTTGCTAAATGGACTCAAACTTAATTCTTTCCTTTTTGGCTTCTCCTGTTTCCAGTCGTGCTCCGAGTGCTCGCCTCCCATGCTGCTACCCAACAGCTGCAGTGCAGCAGCTCATCAGCGCATCCATCAAGGCTCCTCTCCACATGTGTGTCCAGAGTGTGGGGGCACAACCAAGCAGGCACAGTTCAGAACACATGTGGACGAGACCTGCTTGCACTTTTCCCGCCGTATTGGCTACAGGTGTGACGTCTCCCCATGTGATTGGTTTATTAAACCACTGCTACACCAGTCATGATTCCACTCTGCTGATTTTTTATTTATTTATTTTTAACTTTTCTCTTCTCCAGATGTTCTAGCTGCCTGGTGGTGTTTGGAGGTCTGAACTCGGTGAAGTCTCACATCCAGCAGGCTCACTGCGACATGTTCCATAAGTGTCCCAGCTGCCCCATGGCTTTCAAATCTGCTCCCAGCATTCAGAACCACATCACTGCCCAGCATCCGGGGCTCCCTGAAGGACAGCCAATGTATGTGCAGCACACAGAGTCTGAGTGTTCACGCTCGGATTTATTGCATCACTTTCTGTTTCTTTACCCCGAATTTCTTCCTTCACAGGCTGATCTATAAGTGTGTCATGTGTGACACAGTGTTTACCCACAAACCCCTGTTGCATGCCCACTTTGACACTCATTTAACCAATCAAAAGGTCCACGTGTTTAAATGCCCCGCGTGCACCAAGCTGTTTTCTCAGAGGAACTCACTGCTGGACCATTTCAAGGTATAACTGTTATAGTTGAGGTAGTGCTAAAATCTCGTCCTCTACTTACTCATTTTAAAAAAAAGATCTTTTTAACATTAAACTTTATTCTTGTTTCCATCAGACCCACAAGACTCCCAAATCAAAAGGAGAGCCACCTTTGCTTCCAGGTGGTGCTTCTCTGAAATTAGAGAGCTCTGATGGAGATGAATGGATGCGTAAAGACAAAGAAGAGAAGGTGAAGCCAGAAAAGATGAAGACCCCTTCAGGGTGGAGGTGTTCATCTTGTAACACGCGCTACACGGACCGGGAGGACTATATTACCCATATGGGTGAACTGCACGGCAAGGTTTGGAAGCCTCAAAAATCACAGCACCGTGTGCTGATAAATGTGCAGATGAGTTCATTTATAATCACATCTGAAATGGTTACAGATTCAACATCAGTTAAGCATTTATAAGTTGTTGTTACTTTGTGGTGCAGTGATTACCGCTGTTGCCTCACAGCAGGAAGGTTGTGGCTTGAAAGCTGCTGGGGGACTGAGGGTGTGGGTGCTATGCTTTCCTCCAGCAGTCCAAAGATATGTATGTTAGGTTAATCTAAACTGGCCATAAGTGTGAACATGAGAGTGTCTGTACCCCTAATTTGTTTATCCACACTCCTGGATACAAAGTACTGATTCATACATGAGCACATTATTTTGACAGTTTTTGGTTTTACATATGTACTTGATTGACATAATAAAACCTTTCAGCTTTTCATGTATTTTCAAACTGGGTTTTTGGAGACCTTGAACCTTTCTGTGTTGACTGTCACATCTATTTTATCTATAGCACATTTAAACAATAGAAGCTGATCCAGAGGTTTTTCACAGTTCATTTTTTTGGAAAGGAAGAAAAAAACATAATTAACACAGTTCAGTGGGATACATACTGAACCAGCGTTGACATTAATACGATCGATATGCGAATCGATCAGCACGCCTCTGTGCATGGCCATTACTCATTTATTTAAAACATTTCTGCATTCTCTCTGTTTCTGCACCCCTGGCTGTGAATCACTGGTTTAAAATGTCTGATTTAATCAAATCCTTTAATCTTTTTCTGTAGATTTTGAAGAAGTTTCCCTGCAACAAATGTGAGAGCTCCTTCACAACCACCTCCAGTCTGAGGCGTCACATCAGAGATAAGCACAAAGCCATGAACCGCAGCTTTCGCTGCCAGTGAGTAACTTCCCCACCCAACCTCTACTTCCAGGGAATTTTTTCTTTTCTGTTAAATGCACATTATAGGAATGGAAAACCCCGCTGTTCAGTACCAGTGAATCCTATGCATTTCTGGTTATTTTTTGACCACAGCTTTTGAATTTATTAGTGAAAGAATAACAATCAAAGAAAGAATAATAATAATCACAACCTCAAAATAAGGACTCATAGATATCAGAAAATTTGTTTGCCATAGCCTTCCTATTTTGTTTGTACTTGCTCTGCATGTTAGACTGGGAACAACCAACAACTTTTACCCCACAACGTGTAAACTCTACACTGCTTAATGTTTAATTTATGGTACCGCAGTTGTGTCCATTAGTGTACGTATTTGCAAAGGCAAGTGTGCTTCCCCGCAGACTCCCAAATTCCCAACTGCATCCTGCTTGATGTGAATAAGGCTGACTTGTTGAAGTAGGCTGCAATGGGGAAGGAAGCAGGTGAACAGCAGAGTTCACCAGGAATTGGAGAAGCATGAACAGACTCATTTTAAATAATGTTGCCATTGTACTTTTTCCAGATGTTGAATCTAAAGGTTGTATGTGTATGAAGCAATGTGAGACTTCACTGATTTCATGTGGTGACACAAAAATTGTTGAGCAGAAGGTTTAATTGTTCCACAATTGTGAAAGCTTACAAGCCTGTAAGCTTTCATGTTTTGGGCACCTCATATACTTTTGTCAGACCCTGGTCCCCAGTGCAAGGTTTGGGAAGCTCGTTGTAAACTCCTGAATACTAACTTTAAAAACTCTTAAATGTATGAAGTCATAACAGAGGACAGTTATGACTGTAATTTGGTGTGTGTGTGTGTGCGTGTGCGTGTGTGTGTGTGTGTGCGTGTGCACGCGCGCAGGTTTTGCACTGAAGGTAAGAAAACCTTCAGCAGCAGAACGATGTTGGAGAGGCACCTTCAGCTGAGGCACAGCACAGAAACTGCAAGCCAGAAAACCACAATGGTAAGCCAGCAGTAATCAGATCACACAAGAAGTCAAACAGTAAGTATTTTTTACTAAAGTTTGTATCTTGATATCTCAGAGTGGTGAAGATGAAGCTGACAGTTCATCGGAACAGGACAGCAGTTTGGGGGCTCGCAAGAGACGGAGAGGAGCCGTGAAGGTGGAGCAGAATGAAGAGTCCACAGACAGAGTTAGTCCGGGGAAGAAGCTACGGTCCTCTTCCTCCTCAGCTCTCGCTCCGTCCTCTCTTCCCGAGTCTGGGTTTCGGTGTGCCGTCTGCGGCTTCACCTCAGAGGAGAAGGTGGCGTTCCTGGAGCACATCAGCCAGCACAGGCGCGGAGGCATGGACGACGGTGGCCTGCAGTGTCTCCAGTGTGGCGCCTGCTTCGCATCCACCTTCTCACTGTCACGCCATCGCTTCATCACCCACAAAGTGAGAGATGTGGTCAATGACAACCAACAAGCACCCAGTGTGCACCTGTCACCCTCCGTTGGAAATAGTAGGCACCACGAGGAAAAGAGTTCTCTGAATGGCTCTGCACCAGCATCACCCTCCACTCAGCCCTCCACAGGAGAGGGGAAAGAGGAGGAGGGAGCACTGGCCTGTAAGGTGTGTGGTAAACACTTTGACAAGGTCACAGATCTGAATACACACTTCAGAACTCACGGTATGGCTTTTATCAATGCGAGGAACGCAGGAAAAACGATCTGAGATGGCAAACATGAAGAATATGTCATGATTAAGAGTACTCACAAGTGCCTTTCTGTTACCGAGTACCGGTTAAAGTGCGAGTTCTGCTCTGATTTTTACCAAAGATTACCAATATAGTCTGAAAACGTGAAATGTTCAGATGCGATTCTCATTGTTCCAGACGAGCTTTTGTGACACTCAGGATCTGATGCTGTGCTTCTGTGTTTAGTTAATGTAATGAAATTAGAGTTTAGTCTGTTTCCCTCACAATCATGTGCCTGCAGAGGCCGGTGAACACTGTTCTAACCGTGCTGTGATAACGATGGCCGTTTAATGAATATGCTTTTTTTTTTCTTTCTTTTTTTTAAAGCAAACTGTTGCAGTGATTTTGATGCGTTTCTTTGAATTTATTGCCAGTCAATTTTCAAAGCATGCTGTCTCTTTCAGTTCATTCCCAGCTTAAACTGCAGCCGCTGGCTTCTCTACATTTTAGTTTCAATTTACAGATACTTAAATTTCGCTTTTCTTGACTATTTTCACTGACTATTTCTGCACTGAGCTGAAATGGAAAAGTACACGTTTGTACTTTTAGAAGATTCCCCCTGAATTTTGCTTTGAGTCACACTGCTGAAAGTTTTTCATTAGCTTTTGCTTAACTTTGCAATATATGCTTGCATATAGTGGAATCACGGTGGTGTCATCCCTGAATGAAAGCAGCAATAATTAAGGCCACCAATACTTTACTGCATATGTGCAATAAAGCATTGGTGCTTTGGGATTAGTTTTGAGAAGAAAAAAAAACTTAACTTAAAATGATGTACACTTAAAGGCCACATATTACCGTTATTGATATTATCCTTGAAGTCTTTACACATTTAGATGCTGAAATAAATGCGGACCAAAAATTTCTGGAAATTTTTCTAAGAAGTTTTGACTATGCTTTGGAAAATGTTAAGCAATAATCTGACTCGCAGACACACTATTTGTAGGGGTGCAACTTTCTGATGCATTGAAATCAACGTTTAATTCCTTATAAATTGAATGTATTTATATCAGATTGAGTAATTTATTCAGTGAGCAAGAGGTGGAAAGTGAAATTGTTTTTTTTTTTTGTTTTGTTCTTTGGTATGCGGGCCATATGTTTACCTAAATCTTGCTTTATGGAATTACTGTAAATGGAAGATTGTTATATATGCATTTTGTCTAAAGTCCTTGGAACGGCTAAAAGATTAAAACTATTGTTCCCCATAACCGACTACACGTTCTCTCGTGGTTCTTTCATCTATAGGTGTCAACGTAGCTTCCTCATCAGTTCAGAGAAACTGCAAAATCGGCATGTTTAACACAAGTGTTCTAAAAAAATCTGAAAGGAGGAATAAGTGCCAGTTTGATCGAGACGCCTGGTTATCCTGTTTAGAGGATGTTTATTCAGTACAGATGTAATGCAGATTTATTAATTTGGTAGCTCAACAAATGTTGCACCTCCTCAGGTTTTGTCACTACTGAAGAATACTCTCAATAAATTTAATCCTCAAATAGAGTTCACAGCTGAGGTTTGTAGGGTGGATTTATGAACTTTCATGTATTAAAACCATAGATGGATGTTTGTATTTTCTGTCCTGATGTTTTGGTTGGATTTGTTGGATTTCTTTTTTTGTTTTGTTTTGTTTTTAAAGGAGCTGCTATACTTTTTCAGCTGACCACTCTCTTGTTGAGGCTGGCAGCTCACAAAGATCAAACACTTGCTTTTAACTGCAGACTATTTTGCATATTTACATTTGCAAAGGTATTTTTATTTCTAAAACATGGGTATTTTTTTGTTTTAGGTTTTTCATTTTTCTTTTTCCATTTTCTCGAAAAAATACAAATAACTGAATTTAATTGGTTTTGGAAAGGTTGAAGCCAAGATGTTCAGCCATAAAACAAAATTGTCTTCAAATTAGAAAGGCTGAATGAACGTCTACATGTGGGTGATTTCATAATGTGAACCTCAGTTGTAACTTTGCATTAATGTTCGGACAGGCTGCAAGTTCTGAGATATTTCTCACCACCATCCATGAATAATATCAATAGACAGCTAACAGTTTGTTAAAAAAAACCTGTCAAAGTTAGCTCTCCCCTGTGCGTGTTTAGCATTGATAAAACAATTTCAAACCAATCATTTCAGAGAAAGAGGGGAAAAAAGTCACTTGTAACTTGGTCATTTCTTTCAACAAACTTCACTGTTGGCTGCTGGCGTAACAATAACGTTTATTAAGTTGAATCATTCTTCGGTTTTTGTCAGTAAATATCAACTTTTCAAAAAACAGACTCATACCGAGAACATCTGAAAATTAAACATGAACTATTTCTCTGCAATTAATAAAATATATTTTCTTATTAACACATAACAAAGTAAATGAACTCTAACACATCTCAGAAGGTCATCTAATCGTGTGAGCTACAGTCACAAACATGTATAGATTATCATAAAACATCAATCTGTGCAAACGTCTTCAACACTAAATAAACCTGAAGAATTGCTGAGCTGTTGTTTATTATTATTATTAATATAGGTCTGTAATTAGCTTAAGCAGATGGATGTGATGACTCACAGCAGGAGAAACCCAATGAGAAGCAAGAGAAGGGGCTTCATGAAGGCTGAGAGCCCCTCTGCACCCAGCGATGGAGCTCCTGGACATAGCAGTGAAATATAAAGATTTCTCAGTGATAATATTCAAAGGTCATTAAAACTAAAGTCTAATATTTACATATTGATATATAAATATATCATAATAATTGTTATTATATTGTTAATAAACAATTTAAGTCATATTTATGTTGAAAACACTGAAATTAGCTTTTTCAGAATAAGCCAAGCCTACATGGCAGCGTTTAATGGCAGGATGAAATTTAACTTGTTCCAAATACTTCTAAATATTTAGATGACGAAGAACGTGGGAATTAAATGCTGTGCAAATTTGTGTTTTTACCTGATTGAACAGCTCTTTGTGCCTGGTTACGAAAACCAGTTAGAGCCGTTTCAACTGTGTCAAGTTGATCATTATTCAAAAGATTTCGCTGTTCAGTGGTCACCATTGCTGCATTGTCAGGCCCAAGGGCCTCCAGCTGAGCAGCAGAGAGTACCTGCAGGGAAAACAGGCATACAACATTTAATAAAATAAAAGTCCTGCATTCAAAATTTGTACTGACATATATTCACACACGTAGAACAAGCGAACTTTAATTTCAATATTATTAGTGATGCATTTATCCTCTTCATAATGACAATATTTGTTGTCTTTCACTGTACCCTGTGAAAACCTTTATCTGCCTTATTGTAACTAATTACGTTTTTATGATCTGCTTTGAAATGGAGTGAGCCTAATAAAAGTAAAACATAGTATACATTTGAGCTCAGTCCACCTGAGCTCAAATTTTCTCTTATAAAATATTGGTAAAAATATCAATTAAGGGTTTTTGTATGTAGGCCTATTTCGGCACGGCCCAACATTCGAGTGAATGTATTTGTTAAATCTGGTCTCTAGGTTTGGCTTCTAGCTTAAAAACAATAGTAGGAAATAAAAAGCTGCTTACAGCAAAATTGTTTGGAGGGATGAGTGGGATACACGTCCTGCTGACAAATGGAAAGACAGATGGGTCCAAAGAAGCCAGCTCCGATGCATCCAGCCCAGCTTAGGGACACAGATGAAAACATTACCAAAAGTGAAAGCTAATTTCTCTCCCAGGTGACACTTTACAGGTATTTCTATGAAATATTCCAATGTTTGTTTTTTTTGTTCGCAGATATTATCTTACCAAGTATGTTGCCCAAGTCTGCAACCTGTGGTTCTGTCCAGGTGCTGGGTTTCCCAAACGCAGCCACAGCTAGAGTTTTTAATTGCTGTAAAATCTGAAAGGAGCACTTAATACCATCCATCGAGCCCACAGCCCTCCTGTGACAAACACAAACTTTCACACATCGTGCAATTGTGACTCTGTATCATTGTGCAGCTCTTTAAAGTTAAAATAATCTTAGCATCACTACCTGTGAACGAGTCTACTCTAAAAAAAAGGTTTGTTTATGCACCTGACCAGAAAGAAAGTATTTATGAACTATTTATGATCACTGCTTTAGAAATAAGAAGACATCACAGCTAAAAATTAAAAAAAAAGAAACTTTTAAAAAGTCTTGAATGAGTGGCAGAGGTTAAGATTTCTTTTATCTGCATATGACAGGATATCACTTGAATTTTCACTTCTCAAAAGTACTTTCACTACTGTTGCAGAGGTGGGAGGAGATGGGCTGTGGGCAGTCATGCATCATTAGATTAACAAAAAATAATCTGTGAAAATAAGAGCCTGGAAAAATGGGTGACTTAGATAAAATGAAAAGTGAGATGTGCGGTGGACAAACTTGAAGGCGCTGATGTTGAGCTGTTTGATCTCGCTGGAGCTCAGGCCACAGATGAGCCGGTTCAGTGATACCATCTCTGCAGCTCCCAGCTGCTGCGCTTTCAGATTGTTATATTTGGCAATTCCCCTCCACAACGACTCCATCTATTGGCACATGAGTCATGTCATGTGTGTAATCGATATAGCGGTGAGCATGCAATGCTGTTTCTATGCTTCACCTGTGATTGAGTCCACCCACAGCGGGAAATTCCCTCTACAATATCCATTGGCAAGGGGAGATTCTCCAGGTCAGAATTAGAAAAACCCTGATTTATACATTCAAGCTGTATGACCGCGCCCTCGTTCATCTGTGACACGGGGCCAAAAGCCTAAAGAAATATACAGAAATATTCACAGTAACACAAAATAACTAAATATAGGATTTCTACATACAGACCAGCAAATGCAACCTTAAGAAGTTACAGATTGCGTTTTAATTTTGACACCAGAAGAGTGCAGCGTTTTATTTGTTTGGATATTTACACAGACGTTATTCCTCTCTAACTTCCATTAAGCTGCGGAGCAAATTATACCTAGGTCAGTTTATCAGTTAAGACAAACAGGGATAATAACTGCTCAATTGGATCTTGGTTCAATACTATTTAAATATTGATATTCAAAATGTACACCTTAACTTTTATTAGTGAAGCTGTATTAATTATTATTAATTGTGGGAAAGTGGAAAAAAACTTTTATGTTCCACCTTGATTTACAATAACTTTTTATTACTGTGGCAATCTCACTGTGAGTGCCCGAATCAAAGCCAACTGTTCAAACTAGAAATGCTGGAAAAAACAGACTGGCGAATGAACGAAACCAAGATGACTGTGTCTCACTGTACCTCAGTAGCTTTTTTGCTGAGCACAGCCAGTTGATCTGCACTGTAGTTCGGGATTTCTCCAAGTATTTCTACAGTGGCCAGGAAAGTGCTGTTTGACATCTTATCCAGCTCTCCTGCTGACCAGTACACATTATCCATTCCCAGTTCTTGAATCAAATTCTCAGTGGGTTCTCTCAGGATCTCTACAGGTATAGACAATATAATCATAAGGCTTTTTAAAAACCACTTTAAATAAAATGTATTTTAATTCAAACTAAAAACTAAACTGTGGCAGAGATTCAAATAAAAAGTTACGCTGCTATTACCATGATCGGCGTTGCTCTTGCTGTTAGAGACACAAGAACTACAAAAAACAGAAATATAAAACTGAATTGTTGCAAAACAGATAAAGCATGCCTCCTTCTCACCCCTCTTTTTACGTGTTGCGTTTGATCTAGTGGTGGTAAGAGCAAAGATTTTCTTTTTCAGGGCATCTGAAGGATCAGGGGACAGTGACTTTATGTAGCGAAGAACATCCTTCATCCAAGGCTAACGGAGATACAGAGAGGGACAACATCAAGAAAAACTGAAAATATATATCCATTTTTAATCACAAGCAGGAGAGTCACTTCTGAGTTCTGAGTGACTTAATAATGAACATGACAAAAACAAACACAAGATGAGCTGCATGTAATGGACAAGGCAGATACGCACTTTGTTGGGTAGAGCAGACGTGGCAACCTTATCACAAAGAAGAAGGGGACCGACTGATTCCACAGTGTCCTCGGTCCAATCAGAAGAATTTCTACAGATGTTTTAAAAAAGTACACAAGACTACTACTTTAGCTTTTTTGTTTGGCTCTATACAAAACATGTATGTATGTAAGCTGGATGTCACACACACAAAGCACACTGGCTTTGTTCCCCTTCATGCTATATTCAGTAAGAACCATAACTTTTCTGGAAGCCTTGTGCATCTTTTATAAACAGTCTATGGTCTTT